ATTGGTCGCGTTAAGAGGTTATAAAAATAAACTCACTTTGCAATATTAATAACGATTATGGTTATAAAAGTTACATAAAAATAATAACATACGAGTATATGAGAACAAATGACCACCTAAAATAATAAATTATTTTTAGTATTTTCAAGTGCCCTGTACTTTCTTTATTTTTGTATGACTCATAAACACGGATACTTCGAAAGTATAATATGTCCGAGAAAGTATGAAAGCATGTATTATATTATTAATATCATGAAGTAATTATGCTCAATACGTACCATATACATGTATCAGTAATTTTATTCCTTACAGGATTATTTCAATGTTGTGATCTAGTTTCGGTTCTAGCCTTGAAATACTTGTTATTTCCCGCAGATTTGTCCGAGTGAATCAGTATGTGTTAAGTTAGGATGTAACCTGTGTACCGAATTTCATTCATTTTCGTTCACAATTTAAGCGTAATAAAAGCAACAAACATAAAACCCTAGCGTCTTAAAAAACTTTTACATTTATAATATTAGTTAGATTTCATTGTCAAACTACGCATTATAATTCCATACGACTTTGTGCAGCCGTGGAACATATAGAAACCAATAAACTATTATTTAAGACTAGCTGTATACCGTGGGTGCCACGTAAATCAGTGCATAAAGTACCATATGTGCTCAGTTAGGATATATCCTACCTGCGTACCAAATTTTATTCAACTCAGTTCAGTAGTTTTTGCGTGAAAGAGTAACACTCATTCATCCATACATCATTACAAACTTTCTCATTTATTATATTCTAAAATGCTGACTTGACCAGAGGGAGACTTTGTACAAAAGTCGATTGCTTGGGTACCTCTGTCCCATTTGTGTTTCAACCATGAAGCAGTTGTGTTTGCATGGCTGTGTTTTGGTTTGAAGGGTGGGATATGGCGTGAATTTACTGGGTACAGAGGAATAACACCTGAGTCCTCAGGAATGGCAACGCATGGGGGTATCATGGGTGAAACAGTATACTCTGTTACGTCCATGGTACTGCTCATGTCTATAGGCAACGGTTAGCACTTTCCATCAGGTGGGCCGTTAGCTTGTTTGCCATTCTAAGTTGTATAAAAAAATGTATTCACATATTTTTTTTAGTTTACAAATATTTGCTACTATGGGACATCTATACTTTATTTAAGTGATAAACAATACTTTTATTATTTTATCTTACTAATATTTATAATAAAATTGTAACTTAACGATACCTGTATATGGAAGATATTAAATAAAAATAAATATCAGGAGTATTAATAAGGGAAATAAATGCCAAAACATTATTATTTGTAGAAATTTTATCTGTCTGTATGTTTGTTCCGGCATCACGCAAATATTACAACCCCAAATGTGGATATGGCTTGTACAGTTATATTCCTGATGGTTAAACTTATAATCTGGTATGTTTTTAATTTTGTTACGCAGTCTATTTAATTAGTTTTGAAATCCACGCGTACGAAGCCGCGACGCAGCGGACAAAAAAACTAGTCATTTTATTAAGAGATCATAAAAAGAGGAGATACTTAACTAGTCTGTATTTTTTTTACTGTTGTGTTTGTGTTACTCGATATTATTGCCGATTTTCCGATTTTAATACATCTTTTTTTCAATGGACAGGATTTACTCCTATGTTAGCGGTATACCGACTTAATTTTATCGAAATTAAAGTCGCAGGTTTTTTGCTGGAAATTCTTTTAACTTATTAATGAGCATTTTACAAATGTATGTAAATAACTTCTGTATGTGAAATCGTAAAATTTTGACACGTAATGTAGCCGTCGCTCTTACCATATTTGTTTATCCTTTATTGAACAATTTCACTATTTGCAAACATTAAAGGAATTACTTACACCGCCATTACACTGTAATTTCTATTATGCAAATTTTAGAATAACAATTAACTTAACTTTTACTCGTAAATTATTTGGCGTAATGCATTCGTATTTCTGTAAACATTCGATTGGAGAGGATGCTTGAGCAATTGACCATGTAGTGGTCGTACGTGCGCTTTCTATACTCGTTGAAATTACTTTCAAAATTGAAAAATCAGTTTAGTTTTTGGTAAATGAAAAAAAAAAAAAGAAATTTGTACACGATTTCTGTTGCATCAGTTCGTTTTATAACAATATGGTTTTTTGTTTGTTCAAATAGGTAGGTAACTCTCATATATTCATAAACCTTAGATTAGTAATATAAACTTCTAGGTTTATAATCAATTATATAGATAGAATGTCTCCAAATTAATGCATCGCCAAAAACAGGTAATCTTTTTTATCCAAGTGTGCATGAATAGGGTTATCACAATGTCGAGTAGACCTCCACTTTTTTTAAAGTCGGTAATTTTTTTATTTACGTATGAGGATGATACGTATATAGGGATGCCATAATGTATAGTTATTACACAGTATATGGAAAAAACTATATTGTAAGATTAAGTTAAAAATAAAAACCATTCAAAATTCTTGTGAATATATTTCAAAACAATAAGATAAATTCAGCAAAATGATTTATAATGAGGCTTATTTTTACTGATTTCTTATGTGCATAAACGTAAAATATGTGTTTATGTTTTAAATATTTAGAAATGGCCGCCATTTTCATTACTATATACCATATCAGCCGTTAAATGTCCACTGAACGTAAGTCTCCCCCTATTAGGGGAGTTAGCCAGTAGGTGTCACGTTTGGCAGGCGGGTTGGCAATCGCAGTTAGTCTTTGGTGATGTTTTAAGAGAGACAAAGTTCCCTTAGTCGCCTTTTTCGTCCCTCACGGGAATGGAAGGAGTAATCCATCCTATGCTGGGACCATAGGGCAAGGCCCACCATGGCCATTTCAATTAAAACACGTATATTAATTTGTAATTAATACGTGTACATATGCAAATTTATATTATCCCACAAAAAGAGTTCCAATTCAAATTAAAAAAATCGACTAACCTGGAAAAAGTTTTAATGTGACTACTTGGAACCTAAGAACAAGGAATTACATAGAAGGAATTATAAAATAAAAATTGTAAATCATATGGTTGCCTCCTTTCTTCTTATGCAAATGTAATTAGTAAAAAGAGGACGAAAGATACACCCTTAGTTGCTATTTTTCTCAATTCATAGCAGGCTAGTGTATAGAAAATGTTTGATATGTCAAGTATTTGACAATAACAAATTTTATACTACTAGATTTTATATTCGACACAGTTTATGTAGAAAGTATGCAAGCAGGTTGTATCTGGATTTGGTAGGGTTATACGGCCGTATAACATTTTTTATACACTAGCCTGCTATGAATTGACAATTTTATCACTCCTATGTAATTCCTTATTCTTAGCTTGGAACACTGAAAAAAAGCGCGCTTAATTTAAAAAAGTGATGTTTTTGACACTTAATGCTCTATCTATATAATCTAAGATTACAAAGTCATGTTTTTGTTTTTTGCACCAGTGCAGCTAAAGTTGTTACACCTAACTGTATACTGATCTTAGATTTAGTAAATCTTCCATCCAACACAGACAATTGTAGATCTATCTAAATCATGTTTTTATGTGATTTCTCATTATTACTCCGTGTGTTATGATCCCATCGGAAGTAATGACGGAAACGTTTTTGTCGTACATAATCATTGTAATGAAGGCAATTGTATTGAGTTATCGACATTTATACTTTCCGGACTTTGTGCAGTGTTTGTCAATGTATCTTTTTGAGTTAAAAATGATGTAAGTAGAAACTTTATATAGGCTGAGTTTGCTAGGAATCATTGAAATTGGCTGTGTGATCCCGGTGTAGAATGGGCCGTCTCTTTCTTTCCCGTGGGTGTAGTAAGAGGTAATAAGAAAAAAATTATAGTCGAGGGATGGGCTTACAGTTGAGAGTTGGGCTGCAGCATCCTTAAAACATCACCACAGCCTAATTGTAGTTGCCAACTTGCCAGCCAAGCATGGCAACTACGGGCAAAACCTCCCAATAGGGGGAGACCTATGTTCAGCAGTGGACAGCTAACAGCTGATATGGTGATTGAAATTATTCAACGCATCAAGTGGGTCGTCAGCTTGTTTGACATTCCGAGTTTAAAAAAAAATAAAACATTTTTATTTGTTCTTCAAGTGTATGGTGTATCTTGTTTAAAACACTTATTATTGTTTAAGTATTATTTCTATTCGTTGGAAAATATTGGGATGTCGGTATTTATAAGAACATCCAGCTGATACCGTTGATTGGTCACGGTGGGCAACGCAGATCGCGTGTGATGTAACATTATTATAATTTAACGTTTCATGTAACACCCGGCTAACGGTACTGGCCGTTTATTTATGTTCGCCAACGGAACTGTATCGTTACAAGATCGTTGTTTTAACACTAAAAAAAAAATGTTTCTTACCCACTTAAAAGTAGCAAGTATAAAATAAATATATATAAATATATAAGAAAGGGAACAGAGATTAATTAAGGTTTTAGTGGGACTACCATGAAACCTAATTCCGATGTTTCCGATTCAAATTTCGGATTTAAATTTGACCGATACATCATAAAGACAAGCATACGTTTCAATGTGTCTGAATAATATAAATTGTAAATTTATTCAATGCGCTATCACTTTGACATTTTAAAAGATCTTTTAATACTTTAAATATAACGTTATTACGATATCTGTTTAAATTCATATTATGTGATGGAATAGTGGGAGAGTTAATTTAATTTTTTGTTAAACTAATTCGTCAATTCATCGAAATAATATTAAAATTTTCGATAACCAAATCAGAGTCTCTAATGTGAGTTTAAAATGGATTTACATTACTAATGCGTTAGCGTTTACGTTGAATATTTGTATAGAAAACAACGCCTCTAGCGGATGGTTCTGGAAACTCAGATTTCCATACGAACTTATCGACGTAAACTTGAAGGCAATAGTAACGTAAATTTTTGTATAACTCACATTAGGGACTCTGTGTTTCCTTCACCATGGACGGCTGGTCGACGGTAGGGTTGTCCGCAGGTACCGGAACGGGACGCAGCAGGAAACGTGATACCTGCGTGGAAGAGGCAGATGCTGGCAAGGAGAGCAGCGGAGAAAGCTAGACGAGACTTGGAGAAGGAGCTAGCAGGAGAAGCGGAGAGAAGGAGAGCGGCTGCTGTGCCTGCGTGGAAGAGGCAGTTACTCCAGAGGAGAGAGGAGGCTGAGAATAGACTGAGGTAATGTATATAATAAATGTTTTTTGAAGCTTTGCATAATTTGAATATTGTCTTTTAGAGACAAAGGCAAAGCGAAAATTTACTATACATTGTAAATGAAATAATGTGATGGATTTAAAAAGAGCGAAAGAAAACATTCGAGTCTCTTAGCAATATTTCTTGGTAGAAATTGCTTGCTAAAATCGCCGGTAGCTTAAAAACAACTTGACAAACGAAAACAAGAAATATAAGTCCTATATAAATACACAATGGGTTCGAAGTTTGCTCGTTTGCCCCCTGTGTTGTAAAAAAAAAAAAAAAAAAGAAGTACTGCGTCCTGTCTATCGTTAAAAATATCTAGAACACTGTTCCTCTATGCAGATTCAAAAGCGATTCAATAAACACTTTGCTTTATTACAAATCACTTTCGTTCTGTTCCAATATATACGATTGATAATGTTGCGTGCAGTTAGTATTTATTCCATATAGATGACGACTAATGTTTTTAAGAATTAACAAAGAATGCAATGTGCCAATTAAGTATGCGATTTCTGTTTCCACATTCTATCTTTTATTCACACAGATTGCAATTGTAATTACATCAATTCATATGAGGAGTGTTGGTATTTGTGAAGTAATTAACGCAGACAGATCTATTAATGTAAACTCGAGATGGATTGCAACACTTTAATATTAATAGGCGTTATATATAGTATACATTTCATACTACCTATATGATCTATTGAATATGTTAAATGAGCAAAAACCTTTTTTTTCCGTTATCCGGCTCGAAGGACCATGTAAGATACCTACACGCGTTCCAAGTTGTATTCAAATACGTTCAGCCGGTATAGCGGGATTGAGTAATAAACATATAATAGTCCAAAATTTTTTAATCTTAGTACGTATTTGGTTATATTTTTTTTATACAATTTAGAATGGCAAACAAGCTGACGGCCCACCTGATGGTAAATAGTAACCGTCGCCTATAGATATGAGCAATACCATGGATATAACAGAGAATACTGTTTCGCCCATGATACCCCCCATGCGATGCCATTCTTGGGGACTCGGGTGTTATTCCTCTGTACCCTGTAAATTCACGCCATATCCCACCCTTCAAACCGAAACACAGCCATGCAAACACAACTGCTTTACGGTTGAAACACGAATGGGACACAGATACCCAAGCAAACGACTTATGTACAAAGTCTCCCTCTGGTATGGTATGCTTTGTTTATCTTGTCACCCCTAACGTGTTGAAAATAAATTATGTATTCCGTCAGTACTTACATTATTAATATTTATTCATTTATTTATAATTTCAGACAATCTATGTACACACCTAAAGTTGAAGAGACGAATGGATCGAACGGCTCTACGAACGGCGATTGGCGCGCGTACCCGAGCGGCACCCAGCGCGCCGTCTCTATAGACAACATTACTCTGTGCTACGAAACACCTTCGCAGCCGACGCGCGCGCCCTCTGAGGCGAAACTCTCCACTGACCATTGTAACGGTTAGTTAACATCTTAAGGATAAAGGTAACGTCAATACCGAATATGAGCTTCAGGAGCCTCGCTGTATGAAACGCAATTCATGGTGTTGGTTGACAAGACCACGCTCCGCTGTTAACAAGCCGAAGGTTACAAATGTTTATATAAATATTATTGGAAACTATTTTAATCGTGGTACAGAAACATGTACATTTAAATGGGAATAAGTGATTTAAGAAATAAAAAAAAAATAGCAGTAACAATCAAAACTTTTTTTTTTAATTGTGATAATAGCCAATCAATAAAAGTGGTATACTTAAATAAGTTATATCTATAGCTTCATTGCTAACAATATACCTTATCAGATCGACTTTCAAACGATTCCTCCTGTAAACTATTCTGGATAATTCTTGTGGAATTCGTCATGATGAAAGCAGATCAGTTACTGCTTTCATCCTCGCCTATTATCTCTCACTGGTGCCCCGCTAGTGTATACCAATAGCGCGGGCGGGGTTACCATTCTCACACATTAAAATATGCAGGGTAAATGTTCATGTCAGTAACAACATAAATTATTTAGAATGATATATATATATATATATATATATATATATATATATATATATATATATATATATATATAACATATTATTATCATCATTATCTTACCAAATAACATTGTGACTAGACGATGTCAATACATGGGACATGGGACATAATATTTTTTAGAAATTTTGTGTGTCTGTATGTTTGTTTCGGCATTACACAAAAACTGCGGCACCAAATTTGATGCAGTATTCACACATGTATTGTTTGAAGGTCTATCTTCAAATTTCGTATTATGTTCCATCTCGATACGCCATTCAAAAGTGCTGTATTTCATTGGTCTTCCTACTTTTGGAATCCACGCGTACAAAATAGCGGATAAAAGATAGTTTTTTTTTTTATAATATAGATAAGCTATGGAGCTTCAGCGGTATGGCTTTGTACCTTTGCGTTGCTAGATACGAATAAACTATTACCGCTGCAGTATTCACATTTCAGTATAAATCTATTATAATTTTGGGTACATTAAGTTACCTTTGACATTTAGAGAATAAAAAATTATATGTAGTTGATTGATTTATAATAAAATATGTAAAATAAACATATAGGTAAAACTATGTGTAGGTACGGAATTAAAATAGTTTCCATACTGTTACAATAGTACTTTCTTAATTATAAAAAATAGAACCTATCTATTTTGACGTTTTTTTTCCATTTTTATGATAGGTAAATGAGGCTTGTGAATGCCTATTATCAGTGTACGGTATACGTAGCATAGATACATATAAATTATCTAATTTATTTTGTATATTGCGCGTTGCGTTACATTTTCAAGACCTGTGTTACCTACATATAAAGATTAATAACGTAAATAAATTATAAAGAAAAAAAAAATAAGACAATTTTGTATTTATGTATTTTTTAAATATTTGTTCAGGACTTGCTTTTTTATACTTGCATACCTAGTTATATTTGTCATATCGCTGAGTTCGTGTTATTTTCTGCAGTCACCTATGATAATTATTATAATAATGGATTATTTTTATTATTTTAAATGTAAATATATCAAACTTATTATAAGTGACTGCGTATTCTCAAAGGAGTTAGTGCATTATCCAATTTTGGATTCCTGTATATATAATGGCGTAAATTTACTGGGTACAGAGGAATAACACCCGAGTCCTCAGGAATGGCAACGCATGGGGGGTATCATGGGCGAAACAGTATACTCTGTTATGTCCATGGTACTGTTCATGTCTATAGGCGACGGTTACCACTTTCCATCGGGTGGGCCGTCAGCTTGTTGGCCATTCTAAGTTGTATAAAAAAAATATAAAATAAAAAGTAATGTCACATGGTTGTTAATTTGGCTAGAAACTTTTAACATCGACATCCGTTGAAAAGGCAACGTATGAGGGGTACCATGGATATACCAGTGTATTATGTCCATGGTGCTATCAGTGGCGTAACAATGGTTAGCAGAGACGATAAAATGACATGGGCCTCCGCCTTGATTCAAGTGGCCATAGGATATGGCATAGAAAGATTCTTACATTTATTTATTTATTTAACACTTTATTGCACCAATATTATAGAAATTAAATAAATTGAAAGATTTTTAATAAGTATAGTGTAGTACAAAAGGTAGATTTATTGCTAAGTAATTTATTGCGTAATTAAAAAAAAATGTATTTACTCAATTTAAGAATTAGAGTTTTGAATTTAAGAACATTTTGGAATTATACAAATAAATTATCAATTATTTCTATCAGGTATTGTCGAGTAAAACCAAAAATAGACATGTTAATTGTAATAAAATTTATACCAAAGCATGCATATATCGTCATAGTCGTAGAATACTGACGGATCTATGTAATATTCGCCAGATCCGTCAGTATTCTACGACTATGACGATATACTTAGTGATATATTACATAAAAATAAAACTACATCAAGCTTTTCTAGATAAAGGACGCCATCGTCTGTTCAATTTGACATAGGTCTCAGATAGTATAGTTATGTCATTGGGTGTTATTCATGTCTATAGGCGACGGTTACCACAGTTGAGGCGTCAGTTCGTATGTCATTCTAAGTATCATAAAAAAACACCAGATGGTAGCACCCTCGTACGAGTTATAAAGTACAGGAACAAATTCGGATATTTCACTAATTGCTACAGAATAAAAAAAAAACCAGTTTATTTCTCTTCAATCACATAATACGTTTTTGTTTATATTTAATATTTTTTTTTTACATTTTTCATCATTCATACTTTATTCAGTTTCTCTCAGTCCGTCTTCGCTCTAGCCTAGCCGCTGCTGTGACTATTGCTATATCCAATAATGTATTTTAAGCGTTTCCAATTTAAATTAATTCCATTAAGTTAATTATATTTTAATTACTTATATAATTAAGATTATAATTCTAAGATATTCCAGAGAGATAAATTTAAATTAAAACAGTTACACTTGATTTCATATTAGTGACTAGCGAGTCGCCCAGCTTCGCACTGTTTTTTTGACAATATAATGTGTAATTTGATGATAAAGTAGCTCTCTATAGGTGAAAGAATTTTTAAAATCGGTTTTTAAATTATGTATCGGTTGAGTTTATTTATTACAAATAAAAAAAAAAACAAATCTATTAATATTTAATCTAATAATAATATCAATAATATATTATTATATATAAATGAAGACATGTAATTTTAAAAACTTCAATTAGAAGTTTGAAATATAAAGCTGGTGTCGACCAACGTGTGGTACCAGCATAGATTGGGTCACCCCTTCCTTTCCCGTAGGTGTCGTAAGAGCCGATTAAGAAAATGTAGTGCTCGAGGGGTGAGCAGCAGCGTCCCTCATGAAACATCATCAAAGCCTAACTGTGGTTACCAAGTGTGGCAACTATTGGCAATACCCCCTTCCCCCTTCCAAATTTACAAATTTACAGGGTACAGAGGAATAACACCTGAGTCCTCAGGAATGGCAACGCATGAAGGGTATCATGGGCGAAACAGTATACTCTGTTATGTCCATGGTACTGCTCATGTCTATAGGCGACAGTTACCACTTTCCATCAGGTGGGCCGTCAGTTTGTTTGCCATTCTAAGTTGTATAAAAAAATGGACTGTGCACTGCTGAATATAAGTCATATGTAGCAGTGGACAGTTAACGGCAAATATGATGATGATGATGATGATTGACCTGTATCATTGATATGTTATATAAAATGTCGTAACCATACAACAACATTCATACAACCAGCCCATCGAGATCAATATTTGGTCAGTCGCTGCCTTAATAAAATTCATTATAAATGCAATTATTAAGTATTATTGCAACATTAGTATAAATATTAAGCAATACATTAATACAGGACAAACATCTTATTTCCAGGTCATTTAAATGGCAAACACGAAGAAGACGAAGATAGCACAAAAATAATACCGTGGCGAGCCCAACTACGCAAGACAAATAGCAAACTTAATCTACTTGAATAGTTAGTCTATGGTAAGTTAGTGTTGCAACAGTAAAATAAATGATAGACTTTCGAGACGGCTGCAATCACGGAAAAAGGAACGACCAGCTCTGTCTCGTTCTTACTGCTGGGTAATGCAACAAGCGGTGGGGAAGAGACAAAGCGTTTGCCATTTCGTTTTACGCAATCACGATAAGGGGTCTGTTGTGCATATTTCGTGTGACATTGCCATAGTGGAAAGCATGTGTCAGTTGGTTGGTAACATAAAATGTATAGAAGAAACGAAACAAACTCCAAATTAAACCGCACTTAAACATTTAAGAACAAAATTGTGTAATGCAGAACATCTTTTCTTCATTAAGAAATTAGTGGTTTTGCTAGTTTAGAAACGGATTTTTTTTAGGTTAGATTGTTTATATCAAAACTTTATTGTATACTTTTTTTTTTATTAATGTGTTCGCCAATTTTGGATCTTTTTATTTTCGCAACTTTGTCACAGTCGATTTATGAAAATAATTTCTAGAAGATTCGTGAGATGACTAGCAGGTATTTCAAATATTTTTTTGGTACATTGCCATATGTATCCAATTAAAATATGTACACTTATTCCGAACACATTTTGAGTTCGTTTTCGATATACTTATAATAACTTAAGAATATATTTTATACAAATATTTCGTATTAATTTTTTTTATAACGAGATTAGGTCAAATTGACATGTAAAAATGTAAATTTACTGAGTTTTTTTAGGGATATTTTTATATTATAAATAATATTGTCATAAATTTTGAAAGAAATTAATATAAAATTGGCTATAAATGTTTGCGAGTCTTTGTCAAAAGCCAAATGAAAAATTATAATTTTATTGTAAGAGAACATGTACTTATTTAAAAAAAAAAAAAACATATTTAAGTTCTTTTTTTATTGTGCAAGTGATACCATTGTTGCAATATTAGATTTAAGCTTGTGTGAGGGCTTTTGCAATTTTGTATGTCCTACTTATATATTTTATATGATATCGAAGTATTGATGTGTGAGTTATATAGTATGACAATCGGAATTATGTTGTTAAATAAAAACGCTGTTGCTTTACATACGTGTTTGTTTATTCTAAATAACCTATTAAAATAATAAACTTAAACTCACTGCTGCCACTGAGATCCCCGTGATGATGGAGCAAAAGTAAAAAGACTTTAATCTTTTTCAATTCGAAATAAGCATTGTTACGTAATTATGAGTAAACAGCTGAACGGATTTGAATGAAATTTTCTATGTAGATATCTTGGTTTAACTAGTATATTTATATAATACTATTTTAAGTAAACTGTACCTCCAAATAAAACCATACACCCGAAAACTAACTGGAAGTGATTTACTTTTATTGGAAAAAAAAAAAACTTGTATTCATTGTTTTATAACGGGGTATTTTTTTTTTAATGGATGACAAAGGAATGGCAATTCCACCCGCGTTATCGGTATACACCGGCGGGGCAGCAGTGAAGGATGATAGGTGAGGATGAAGCAGGTCAGTTAGCCCATCGTGACGTATTCAACAAGAATTGTTCACGACGGTTTCCAGGGGGAACCACGCGGAGGTCGACCTAATAGGGCATATTGCTAGTAATAGGGCTGTCAAACTCCATTGCTGACAATCCCTTTCCCCCCTATAACGGGGTATTATGGTGATGATACGGAATGGATGAGAGTGGCGACATGTATATATGACAGTAAAATTCCCAACTACCAAGTACAGGTGAGTGGAGATTAGGGTATACACCTTAGACCTTTAGTGGAATGGCAACACAAGGAGTATGTGTGCGCGTCATAGTGTATGGTACTGTTTATGGTTTATAAGAGATGGAATTAAATACCGTCATTATTTAGGTAAATTACAATAAATAAAAACCAAACAGCGTTCATGTACTAACTCTTCATAAGAACATTGTAACAACTTAATATTATGTACATATATGCATTGTAATAAATAAATAGTTTACCTGGATTATCTCGATTTTTCATGTCATCATGTATACTTAACTATAATTACTTATGTATTTTTTATTAGATGCTCGATCAGTTTTAGAGCCATCCGCGACCGGAATCCTTAATAACGGGAAGCTATGACCATTCGCTCATTTAAGACTAATTCATGAATGAAGATAAAAATAAATGAAATCAAATCAGGATAAGTTTACAATTAAATATGTGCATACGAGTACCTGTTAAGGTTTCTCCAAGAGATTACAGCATGTGGTTTTTCAAAAAATGGATAAAGAAGTTTCTTCAGGGTCGGCAACGCGCATGTAATGCACTTAGTATTGCAGGCATCCATAGGCTACGGTAACAGCATACCATGAGGAAGGCCGTATGCTTGTTTGCCACCACAACGTTATAAAAAAAATATACGAAACTTAGAACAACATAAATTTCATATTAAAAAACGACGCTGAGCAGTAAACAATATATCACGAACAGAAATATGTAACTTTCAGTAATAAAAATCATAACAGCATTGCCAATAATTCGTGGTCATAAAACGTGTTCGTTTTATGTTATATATTCACATTGGGTGAAAGTGCAGTAAACTGGGTAATAAAATGGACACAAATAATAACAAGGCCCCAGAATGACACATAGCGTCTCTGTATTACGAGGTGAGGCGGTAAAAATCTTCAAGGGTTTATTTACTATGTATAAAAATAATAAAAACTTATTACTTTGCAGCTTTTTTAATGTTTATTGCATTTATGAAAGGGGTAAATTCAACTGATAACACGATTGAAGGTAAATTGCCAGATTTCTCATTGATATCAGAGCTATTCAAAGTCGTTATCAAGCCATACATAAATTCTATACAAGTTTCACAAGGAGTAGTTTTTAGATTTGTCCAAGAAGCGTCAGTAGAAAGGACAATAAAAAATAAAATAGATGAACTAAGAGCACTTTTGCAAGATTCAGACGTAAATGAAGATATACTTGACAAACTAACACTTGAAGGTACAGATAAAACGACAATTATTGAATTTCTACCGAAACCTAAAGAAAAATATAAAGGTAACATACTTAATGCGAAATCTGAATCACTAAAATCAAACATACAGAAATACAAAATAGTGAGGGACCAAATAAAAGCAGAGCTTGCAAAAGAGTACGTTTCAGATAATACACAGAAGTTAGTGATTAATATATTTGATGAAATGTTGACGAAATTATTAATAAGGAGCCAATGTAATTGGAAAAGCGGTATACGCGAGAACACTTATAAAGACCAAAATGATAGATTACAAAGATCAATGACGTTAGCAGAATCTTGGAACAATTAATGGAATAAGATGAGAGAACAGTATTTAGAATTAACAAAAGATCGACCAATTGACGATACCAATCCAGGAGTGATATCCAAATACACGATCTCTTATCTCAAATTTTACAAGATACAGAAAACTTATCAAGTTGTTACAAGGTAAAGTGCAAACTAGTGAATAGAGATGTTCAAAATGAAAAAGAAAATAGTATTATAAATTTGGATACAAAAGACCTGAGTGACAAGCAAATTAAAGCTAGAAGAAGGAGACATAAATGTCAAAATTTCAAAATTTGTACAAATGAACTAAAGAAATTCATGACTGATTTTTACAACTCCTTAAATGATACAGCTGTTAGCAAATTAAGGAATTACGCATCTATGTATGTTAGTGATGTCAATACAGATGGAAGTAATGAAAAAGAAGCCGTTGTTAGTTTAATTAATAAAATTGTCTATATATCTGAACGAAAAGTTAGTAAAATATTCAGAAAAGAAACGTTAATTTTTAATTTATACGAAAATAAAAATATTGAAAATAATATTAAATATTTAAGAGATTACATTAAAAACACGATAATAAGATGCAATGACAGTATAGTAAATAAGTTAGATGTACATTTAAAATCCCTTAGAGCTAGGTTACTGTTGACAGTTAAACAGGATATTCGCGCAAATTTAGATGTTGATTTGGGAAATTTTGAAAGGGATTTAAAAGGATGTGTGGATTTTTCGACATGTAACGGGAAATATAATTCTAGAAGAAATGTTGAATCCAACAGAAGATATCATGGGATTAATACAAACATTGTTTATTTTAAAGTGCAATTTAATTTAGATGATGAATTAAAAGACGAAATAGTGAAAACTGTAGGATCTGTTTCGAGGTTTGGAGGAGAAAACTTTATTGAGAAACGACACAAACGTTTTAGAAAGCATCAAGACGACAATCCAAAAATGATAAAAGGGAAATACAACAATCTGAATATAACTAGAACAACATATGAAATATTAACTAGAACTCTTGCTACCACTGAAAGTACAAAAAACAGCAATGTCTTTATGAATAATAATAATATTAATATTGCCAATATGACTAAAAGTACTATATAATTGTTTATTATTAAATAAAAATAACTATTAGATAGTGGTATTTTATTCACTTTACTTATAACTTTTACAATTTTACAAAACCAGTCTTAGATTTATAACTATACAAAAATATAAACGCAAATAACTTACTCGTCTATGAAATGACGTTTCCTTAAATTCCTCATTATACATGATAATTTAAATTAGATTGTCCATACTTGTTTTGGTGTCAGAATTTGTCTGCATATACAATTGGGAAGTGTTGTACTCGGCCGCTGGTCCATGCGATAGTGAGGCATGCGCCGTCATTGAAATTCTGTTGGAACGCCATTGTTGTTGGTATTTCATTCTCTATACCACACACGAAACAACTGGAAAAAAATTAATATAAAGCATTTATACAAACATTCACTAAACAATTAAGTTATTTAATTATCGACACCGCATTTATATTAACGAAACTAGAAAATCAAATTATACAGCCACCTGGAATTATCAAAACATTAATCTAATGTTTTAATTTATAAGATACTAGCGGCCCGTCCCGGCGTGGCACGGGTGGACATTTTTAACATTTCCCTTAACTGCTTTGCTCCTATTGATCGTAACGTGATGAAAAGTATACTATAACCTACCCAGGAGTATGAAGAATAATTGTACCAAGTTTCGTTAAAATCCGTCGAGTAGTTTTTGTTTCTATAATGAACATACAGACAGACAGACAAAAATTTTATTGATTGACTCCCTGATAGTTATTTTGGAAATATGTTTCATGTATAGAATTGACCTTTCTACAGATTTATTATAAGTATAGATAATGTTGTTTAACCAATAATTAATAATTTTTTAAATGAAATTTACACATTTTATTATTATCATTTCAGCCATTAACTGTCTAATGCTGAACATAAGCCTTCCCCATAAAGGGAGTTTTACCAGTAGTTGCCACATTTGGCAGGCGAGTTGGTAACCGCAGTTAGGCTTTTAGAGATGCATTAAGAGGAATGCTGCTACCCATCCTTCGCTCTTTAGTCGACTCTTACGACACCCACGGGCAAGGAAGATGTGGTCTATTCTATGCCATATTCTCTGAATAGTTATATTCACAGATTGAAAATTCACATTAATAAAATACAGTAAAGACACATACCATGGAGTAATTTTAAGTTGTAACATCAAATGCGTAGTGCAGAACACTGCTATCAAGTGAGATTCTTCAAACATGAGTGCCAGATATTTTCCAGTTGGGTCCCAGCACATGTCCAATATTGGCCCACCAACTAGATCACCAGACGGTAATTCCACTTTGGTCACATCCAAAACTGGCACCGCTTTGCTGGTCTGTGTACCTAAAATGTTTTATGTAACTTGTAATGGCAATAAAGCTGATGGTCCACTTGATGGGAAGTGGTAACCATTGCTTATATGGGCAAAAGTAAGTAATAGGTTACTAACAGGTCTAATAAGCTAGTAATATATCCTCTATTAGGCCAATCTGCCTAATAGAGGATATATTAATAGGTGGTTCTGGAAATTATCATGTTTTTTTTTTAATAGATGAAAGTGGAACAGTAGCACCGCCTGCTCTAATTGTATATGCTGGCGGGGCACCAGTAAGGAGTAGGAAGATAGGTGAGGACGAAAAGGCAGGTCAGTTAGCTCATCATGATAAATATGCCTAGAATTCAGCACAAAGGCTTCCAAAGGGGGACCATGTGGAGGTCGACCTGAAAGGGTATACTCCTAGCAATACAACTGGTAGTGCGCATTACTAACAATCCCCCGTCCATCTCCATTATGGTTAATTTATCATGTTTGGTTAACTAACCTGCATGAATCCTCACCTGTTATCCTTCATTTATGCTCTGCTGGCATATACAGATAGTGCAGGTAGAGTTATCATTTTATTATTATTCATAAAAAAAATAAAAGAAACTGTTGCAACATTAGTTTTTAAAACATACAGTAGTAACATTGCAGAAGTATGTATGACCATTAATATAATTTATTTTAATCCTTAATCTGTTTGAAACAATATTCCGAAATATATTGAAATTAAAAAACATTCAACATGATTAATTTTTCACATGAGATCAATACTAACCACTCATAAGTCCAGTATTTGTTAACGCATACACCATTGGCTCTCCTTTAGCAGCGAAGAGTAACAGATCTTTAGGTCCCCAACAGGCCGTTACCACGCGGCAACCCTGCGCACACCATCTCTCTGGCTTCCAGCATTTCGTATCCCATATCCTGCAAGATTTAAAGGAAATAATATAAAACTTGGAGATTTATTATTCTTATGATATGATATTATTATGATTTATTTATACCATCTATACATTAAATCTTTTCAGATGTTTTCTATTTAATCATAACAAAAAAAATTAAGTTTACAACTTTAATATACACATCCTATCAATGTTACTATTTCACTTATTTTTATGAAAAAAAAAGCTAACACCCCATCAGATGGTAAACCTATGGATGTTTGCAATACAAGTGATATCAGATGTGTTGCTGATCCTGTAGAAACTTTTTACACCCATTTTGTTTGCATGCTTCTTCCCTTGGTTGTAACTTATCACTTTAGTTAGAAGGGAATTTAAACAATTATAAAAAACTAGCAACTCACCTTTGTATTTATTTATCAAATAAATAAATATGACAATTAATGTTAAAGTATTTAACTTGGAGAAGGACATAGATTATTTTACTACTATCTGAAAATATAATTTTACACACCTAAATATTATGGAAGACGTAGCAGCAAATACTTTGCTGGCATCAAATGACCATCGAGCAAACACTATCCCTCCACCTGCAACTCTGCGCAATGGTACAGCTGTTTCCATAGCAACATCCCATATCAGCATGGATGTGTCAGCTCCACAACAGCTGATAAGCAAGTCCCCATTGGGGGACCAGCTCACATCAGTCACAGGGCTATGTCCAGACCTGAAAATTAGGCATAATCCTTACTAATGTTACAAATGTGAAAGTGAGTTTGTTTGTTACCTTCTAGTGCCTTAATTGCTTAACCAATAACTATGAAAATTGGTATATATATACCATATAAAATGGAGAAGGATATAGGCTACTTTTTATCTCCATCAGCAAACATATCCTGGTCACAAAAGAAGTCACAGGTAAAAGCTAGTTTGATATATAGCATTAAGTTAGCCTTTTGTACCAAACATTTTTTGTAATGTGGTCAATAAAGAATAAATAAATATATATTTCTTTTTTTGTCTGTGTACATAGATAATTTGATAATAAGTAAAATAAAAGATAAGAGACAAAAAATGACAAGAGAGTAAAATAAAATATCAGATCAATATTTTACATTATATATAACTACAAATTTATATAACTAGCTGACCCAGCATCAATATCAGCTGCATCAATAATAGCAGACCAGCAGCAACATCATTTTGCATCCTACTGCTATAAAAGGGTACAATTATATAGATATAGATTTAGTATATAGAACTAGGATATAAGTTCATAATTATTTAAAGGTATAGTATAGTCATAGATAAAATAATACTATGTATAATATAAAGCTGTATGTACAAGAGATCAGAGCTGCAGACGCTGCAAATTAGTTTCGTGGCACTAAGAATATGTATTGACTATGTAACTGTGTACTTGAAATAAATAAATAATATAATTTTTTTAGCAGAAAAATACTTTATCTCCCAATTCTTTCCTTATTATCTAAATTGCAGCAAACAATGCACATTTATAAAATTTTTATCAAATTGGATAAGCAGTTTTCATGATGAACAATGTTTGATTGTGACACAGGATCAGTATCTATATTAAACAATATATTTTATTTATGGAAGCTAGTGTGCTACATGGTGGTAGTATGGTGATATTTACATGAGTAAATAATTAATTGAAAAAATTTTAAGTACACAAATAAATTGAATATTTGACAGTAAAATATTATAATTATTTCATAAAATTATAGTCTTTTTAAAAAGGAATAATTCCAATTGGAGTTAGTAATGCACAAAAAAAATCTTTTATGGACAACTAAATTAATATGGTTGTTTTTTACATCATCATCATCATACCAGCCTTGAATTGTTCACTTCTGGACACAGGCCTTCCCCTATTCGGAATTTTCGTAAATAATTAGTTTCAACTTTACTGTATTCTCTATTTATGTTCATATATTGTAAATAAACAATTTATGTCTTACCTTTTCAATAGAACGGCATTACTCGAAGAAGGTTTTGTAAACATTGAATTGGGGTCTACAGTCCAGATTAGAATGCCCTGCTCACAACCTACAGCTATTTCTGACGCCGAGAATGGCCTCCAAGATAGTGACGACACATGTCCTTGAGCCTTGCACTTCAGTGTTGACACAAAAGCAACTTCAGAGCAGTATATCCTCACATTATCATCAGATGTAGCGACTGCAATCTTTGTTGTATGAGGATGCCATGCCATACATTTTACTGGTGCATTCCCCCAGTTCCTGGCTCTAGAGTAGTTTGACACGATTTTAGGTCCTATATCCTTTAAGTGTGGTTGCAAGAAGTAACGAAATGCTGTGAATATATTTGCCACTTTTAAAACATAAGATGCAGTAAGAGCAATGATAGGATTGTCTTTGTTAACATTGGGGTCAGCGGCTACACTTAAAGCCTCTAAGATACCCTGTTTATATAATACACTAGTGATTTTCTTCAATAAATTATCTTCAACTTCTATGTACATACTAATGTTTTCATCTGTAGTTCTGTGATGGTGTACGTCTCTTGATACATTAATTACTGGATGACTTTTTGTCTGGAATATATAATAAGTTTGTTAAAAAATTATATTTTAATGTATTTTGTGAAATAGTGAATAATAAAAATAGAAATAACCTTACCGAGTTAGTGAATGTAGTAATATTTCCGTAACGTGCATTACCGCAACAATAAACTTCGTTTATTTTACAAAATGCAGTGTCATTTGGTCCTGGCAATTCAGGAAAACCGTGAAAAGTAGACATTGTGGTAATTTTCGGCGTTAAAATTATTAATAATATAAACCGGCAACAAATAAAGATTTAAATCTACATTTTTTCCAAGAGTAGGCACTACTCTTATTTTAACGAAACTGGAAATAAATGTATATAACTATTTAAAGGTATTAAACCAATGAAATAAATTAATATACATAGTATTTTAGAAATATTTATATATTTTTCTGTCCAAAATGTTGATATTGATAGATATTATAAACGATCTAGTTACTGTATATCGTAAAATTTTCAAAATCAATGAGTTGGTTGCATAGATTTAAACAAATGTTTTTGTTTAAAGTGATGTGCACTTTGACTGAATGACAGCTGTCAAATGATATTACAGCATAAAAGCAAAGTGTAAATATACCTAAGATTAAGGAAATACTGAAATCTTTGAAATGTACATTTATCATAGATTAATAGTATAACAGTATTAAATTGTCCTCAATGGGAAAGGCAAAGGAACTAATCCATAGATTTAGATTTAATTATGTACATACCTACCACATACGATGATATAACATTGTGATTAAGTAATAGTAATAACAAAGAGCAAGTGCTCTGTGTTACTAATTCCTTTGATGCTCCTATATATTTATTAACAAAGCGTATCATAGAAAATGTTTATATAGTTGTTTATTGAGATTAACGTCGCCATTATTAACAATCGTTCTCCCCCTGGAAGTGGAAGGTTTGTTAGTAATTGGGTCTAAAATCTAGCAATGGTTCTACCATTGCTAACAATATACCCTATCAGGTCAATCTCGATGTGATCTCCTCTGGAAACCACTAGTTAATTCTTATAGAATTTGTCACGATGGGCTAACTGACCTGCTTTCATTTCACCTATCATCTACAACTGGTGCCCCGCCAGGATATACCGATGGCGTGGTTACAAGTCCAATATCGTCCGTAAAAAAAATCTGGGGAGGAAGAGGGATTGTTTGTCATGAGGAGGTTAGTCCCCATTGTACGCAGTAACAGGTTGACTACCATGCGATCACCCCTAGAAACCATCGTGGCTAACTAACGTTGAATTCGTAATATAATTAAGTGCATTTATTTTAAGATCAACAAAAAAAAAAAAATGGTTGCATAAATTTAGATAACAAAAAAAAAAAAACTACGCAGCATGTTCGAAGTGTAATAAGGTACAATTCATAGCGAATTTACTGGCGGAGCGCTGAGATTTATGTAAAGCTGTACGTCTCGAAGGTGACAGCTGAGTAATTGATTCTTCTTCAACGTCTGGCGGCGGGAGCGCGAACTTTAAGGTGTTTTATGAATGGTCGGAGAGAAAATGTTTAAAAGTTGTTATATAATTAAACATCTATTTATTCTATTCGTCATAGTCATAGTATTTTATTAAAAATCAATTTTTTTCATCGATTTACTCCGTGTGATCAGGATACATTGATTAATTGAATTACAAAAATAGCCCATGTGCTTCTCTATCCAATTTGTTGTTTGTTATATGTTGGAAACAAGAAATAAAAATCAGGTATACGTAGTCTGTTTAGATAGAATTTAATGAAAATATAAATAAATTTATTATTAAATTGTTTACATTTTTAGTTACAATTGATCCGATTATATGTTTTAGTTTTTAGTCTGCTGATGTGCAATAGATATTTTTTTTTTCATTTATTGTGACTTTGGCGAAAGCCATCAGCCAAAAAGTAACAAATACAAGGTAACAGAAGTGTGCAATAGATAAATAAATTAAAAATTGACTGAATTTTTTCTTTTTTTTTGGTGGTAGGTACTACTGCTTTAGAATATTGGCCTCTTCACGAGATAACTGGCCAGACACTCTTTTTATTATAGCTACAGTAGCAAATAAGCTGATGAAAAGTGCTAACTTTAACAAAAATAAGAAGAAGAAAGTGTTGGCGTCGCTCATTTACTTGTTTTTTTCTTTATTGTTGTTCCAGTTTTTAACTGTACACTGCTGAACATAACCTCCCTCATAACGGTTCGCCAGTGGTTGCTACGTTTAGCAGGTAGGTTGGCAACTGGAGTTTGGCTTTTGGTTTTAAGAGTGACGCTGCTGTCTATCCCTCGCCTTCCCTTAGTCGCCTCTTACGACACCTACGGGAAACGAAGGGGTGGCCTATTCTATGTTGGGACCTATGTGGCTCTATTTTTTAGTATTTAATACAAATTCATTAAATAAAGTATATATATATATATATATATATATATATATATATATATATATATATATATATATATATATATATATATATATATATATATATATATATATATATATATTGATAATACCAATTTACTCCTTAAGGATCGTATCTGCATTATTCATTATATTAATATTGAATTTCCTATTTCCATAAATAGATTTAACCATATTCCTGAATTATAATTTTGTCTGCTATGTAATTAGAATACTTATAAGTTAATCCAATCAGTTTCATACTAAAGTAGTACATACCTATCAACGATATTATCAATACGTAATTGAAAATAGTATGCGATCATGTTAACAATCAGTTTTTAATTAAAACATCGTATGTTGATTATTGATTTACATGAAGCTGTTATGGAAGCTTGAGAACATTATAAGATACGATTACCTACTAAAGTTAACAGTTTTGGAGTTTAAATGTGCCCTCAGTTTTGGAATATCGAAAGAGACGTCTATTTATCGCCATGTCGAATATACTATTGAAAGTTCTGGTAACAATAAGTAAGACAAAACTTATCTTTTTCAAGATTTACATCGCATTTCTGTCAAACGTACTTTTTTATACAATGATATGTCTTAATACCTATTTATATGTTTTTTTTTATACCACTGAGGTGGAACATGGTATCCGACTTAAACCAATCCAGTTCGGAAACACTACAACAGTCTGTAATTTTGCAGACCTTAAAATCAAACAAAATTATGCCAGCATAGTTGCTAAGTGGTAGAAACCTCTGGTATGTATATATATTATATTACATTTATATGTAACATTTTCAGGTGTGCTTTCTGTTCTCTTTGTAATCACTGCTCACACAATTCATTATGATCCTGTACAGAGAGAAGAAGAATCAAGAAGAATAAGAGTTAATTCAGACGAAATTCGAACGAATTTTAAAGAATTTCTTAATAATTTTATTGACGTAAGATACAAATTTATTATAAAACATATTTATAGAGTATGCAATGGGTGCATTATAGCATAATGTAATTTTGTGTCTCTGGGTAAGTTTTTGACACCCCCCTACCCCTGATGGCCAAAAAAACCATGGAAATTGTTAATAGTTGTCGGCAGATTTCTACACTAAAAATAATTAAAAAGTCATCAGGTATCCACGTTGTATAGTAGAAAGTCGATATTTATATGATGCTTTATTAAACATATGGCGTCTTTCTTACATTTTGGCGCTCTTTTTAGAACTTAGGCACCCTTTAAATCTCGGGGCCCCTCAATTACTAAGTTGTAATTAGGTAAGTGTTAAGTTCGCCGTGTGATCCCAGCTTAGAATAGGCTACTCCTTTCTGTGGCTGTCGTAAGAGTCGACTAAAGGAGGGCGAGGCATGGGCAGCAGCGTCCCTTAAAAACATCTCTGAAAGCCTAATTGCGATTGCCAACCTGCCTGCCAAGCCTGGCAACTACTGGCAGAACTACCCTTATGGAGAAGGCTTATGTTCAACAGTGGACAGTTAACGGCTGGATTAATAATAAAAATAATAAAATTAGTTAAGTAGTCTTGTGGCCTCAGTAAAGAATGGGCTTACCCTTCCTTTCCCGTGGGTGTCGTAAGAGGCAACTAAGGGAATTTAATGACCGAAGGATGGGCAGCAACGTCCCTCTTAAAACGTCACAAAGTCTAACTGCGGTTGCCAATCCAAGCGTGGAAATTACTGGCAAAACCCCCCAATGGGGAGGCGTATGCCCAGCAGTGGTCAGTTAATGGCTGATATGATGATGAATTAGGTAGTCGGTCTACAAATAACATTTGATAGAGAAAGAGAAAGTATGGATTATAATTATTAGATTATTTTCGATTACAAAATCTCACTGACACTTTTACTGCTAAAGATGCCAAAATTGGACATTTGGTTGCGGCTTTGTTCCCTGCCCAATATTAACTTTTTTTTATGCATCTTAGAGTGACAAACAAGCTGACGGTCCACCTGATGGAAAGTGGTAACCATCGCCTATAGACATGAGCAGTACCTTGGACATAACAGAATATACTGTTTCGCCCATAATACCCTCCCCATGCGTTACCATTCCTAAGGACTCAGATGATATTCCTCTGTACCCAGTAAATTCATGCCATATCCCACCCTTCAAACCGAAACACAGCCATGCAAACACAGCTGCTTCACGGTTGAAACACGAATGGGACAGAGGTACCCAAGCAATCGACTTTTGTACAAAGTCTCCCTCACTAATGAAGTCATATAAATTATAGTTATATGTGTAATATGTGTATTTGATGATTTAGATGGTATATCGGCTTAATACACCATTTTACATTCCGATTTCCTGCAAACAAACAAAATATAAACAATTGTATGTATTGAAAAAAAATCTATTTTTATTTTTCTATCAATTGTTTATCCATAGTACAAATTTTGTTTATTTTGGGATTAGAGAGCGCTGTGTAACATGTCTAATCATAGGCTTAGTATTAAATACTACGTTAAATCTAAGTGTCTAATCATAGATTTAGTATCTAAGTGTCTAATGGTATTTATTATTATTTTTAGACATTAAAGTATTCGAAAATATATTGGAATGTAAAATATACCAATACAACATCACGACGTTGGAACCAGTACCCTCGGGTAGAAGTAGGACCTGGTGGATTTAAGTCTCCAATAGTAAATTACCCTAAAGACACCCTCAGCAAGGATCTGAAAAAACTATTGGAGTTAAAAAAGAAAATGGAAACCAAACATTCAGGGGATTTGAATTAAGAAAAATGAGTTTTTTTATTCAAGTATTAATTACCACCAGTAATCACCTCCTCAAATCTATTTTTCTCGAGTCAATGAATACTAAGACAAATAAAAAAAAGTATGAAAAATATAAACAAAATAGTCATAATATAATTGTTACTTTTTTTTTATTTTAGCTTTTGCCCACAGCTTTGCTCATTGCAATACAAGCTTTCGATCCCTATTTCATCCCTTTAGGGATGAATTCATAAGCCAATAAACATGTTAATTTTTGTTTTTAAACCAAGAGCCAGAACTGTTTATTTACACTATATAAAAAGAAACCTATCTCCAAAATTTCATGATTCTAGATTCAGCGGTTTCGCCTGTGTGTTAACATTCAGTCAATCAGTATTCTCTTTTCAAAATATTACAAAAAAATTATACACACATATATATATATATATATATATATATATATATATATATATATATATATATATATATATATATATAATGCAATAAAGAGACATAAATAAAGTACACATGCAGACAAACACTTGTAAATTGCTATCAATTTATCTCAAAGATCCCATGCGGAGATAAAGATGAGGCATTGAAGCAGATTGTATAGTCCATCCATTGACAATCTTACTTCCCGTCAATATTGTGAAATTGTTATCTCATTTATGGATGTTCGTTAAGCTTAGACAACTTAATTGATTTGCTACTTAGATGGCCTATATTCGATTAACATAGGACACTTTTTATAATATTTATTTTTTACTTTTATAATACTTTTTATATATTTACACGTAAAAAGCCGCGGGTTACAGCTAGTAGTTTTGACGACATTCGTAACCCAGTGCCAAGAGTAGCAATAATTAAGTTTTTCAAAGCCATCTATTATCAAGTAGAGTTAATCGTTTAATTTATCTAATAAATAATAGATGGCGTTATAATAGAGTATAAAAAACGCTGTTCAATTTATTTATAGTACGAATAAATACCCGCACAAAAACAAAGTCACGAGTAGAGTTAGTACCAATTATAATGCGTTCATTTTAGCTTGTTTACCTTTTCCAATAGTACCTACAATATGAAAATAAATATACAATGTATTAATCTAGATTAGACTTTTAAAATATTGGACTTGTGTTTTATCTAACGAATAAGTTTTATCTAAGGACCAGGAATCCGGGGCTTCGACCGCGCGGGTCCTGTTATCTAACGTTTTCCTGATTTCCGGAAATCCTTTCTTATCCACTAAGAGCTTATGTGGGGTAAGAAAGTTCTGGATAACTTTCAATTTTCTAGATTCAGCAGTTTAGGATGTACGCTGACAGATATAAGAATAAATAGAAATGTACTCGTCTACCCGTGTAATTTTTTTTATAATATGATTATTATATATTAACAATATTTCTATTAATATTTCTGTAAAGTTTTTACTGAATTATATAACATATAACTAGGCTTTATTAATGAAAAAAAAAAAGAAAACAAAGCCAGATATTCAACTATGTCAACTAATAACAGTAAATAAGTAATCATATCTCAATACATCGCATTTGTCACACTTTCAGTTGTTTTTTTTAATGTTGTTAGTTAATTCAGAACAAGATAAATAATTATATTCGTCAAAATCACATCAATTGCCCGCTTCTCAAAGTTTAAAGAATTGGCTCGTACGCGAATCGAACCCGGACCTTATTCTCACAAAGCAACCTACTACTAAACTAATATGATTTGTTATTTTTTTATACCACGACGGTGGCAAATAAGCATACAGCCAGTCCGACGGTACTTTCATAAAATATAACAAAAATGACGTATCTGTTCATACAATTATCATTACATATTGCCACCGCATGGAATGATATTAAATTATTTTTGCAATCTTTTTTATGGTACCACGCATCGCGGATGCGACATGTGTCGGCCACAAGTGTAATGCAGTTTTCTATTTTTTTTTTCTCACACCAATACAGCGGTATAAAACTGAATCCCGGGGAGATACGATCCGTAGTACGGGTCCGTTCGTTTCTATATTAAGATCGCCTTCGTTTGGCCTCGCAGCATGATGCGCGCGCGCACACCGACCGCCCGCACAATAAACACCAAACGTAGTACATATTATATTTTTTATAACGAATCCGACTTCTCCAGACACTATTTGAACAGGTGACGTGAATTCCCCAGTGTCATAGTGAAGTTTTTGGACGTGTAAAATGGTAAGTTTTTGTTTTGGCGCAATGAAAATAGTAGGTGATCTTAATATTTTGGCTTCGGATTAGAAATGAGCTCGCGTAACAAATTAAGTGTCGCTGTCTATAACTGGTGATGTTTTGATTTGCAGTCTGTGATGTGAGACGAAGTGAATTGAGATATATATCTATCTATCTATAACGGATATAATAAGCGTAAGTTACCAAGATGAAGTTTACAATCGATGTACTAGGGATATTTCTAAAAGTAGTGATCAAGGTACGTTTTGGTGTTCGTGACGTGTTGACGAATTGAGTGTTGTAAATCAGAGAGTAAAAACGTATGTGCCATTACCGCTTGTTACGTGTGTACATAAGAACCGCAAACAACTAACAAAATTAAAAAAAAAAAAAAATCATTCATTAACTTCAAGGTTAACTTTAAAGTTGATCGAGACATTTATTCAACTTCTGAAAGTTTAAGGGCTCATAATTTACGAGATTAAACATATATTATTTTAAATTAATTAAAATTAAGACTTATTGTAGATTTCCTATTTAGTTATAAATATTTAAAGTTATATTTTTATAAACAAATAAATCAATACTTGAACAAGTTGGAAACGTTTGAGAAAATACGTTTCTGTCATTTAAATTTAAACTTCAGTATTTACAATAACAACCGAGAACCAAATTGGTTTTGAGTGTTTATTGATTAATAATAAACGGATTTTGTTTTTTTTTTTATTAAACATATTAAGATTTTCAAAACTCTAGCGTGTTTTGTTGTTGTATAAATATAACTAATCTTGACCTTATAATTCTTGAATTATTAATTAATTTAATTCTGGCATTAACATTTGGAGCTACATGCGAATGCAAAAGTGTTTTGAATTTTTAGCAATTTGTAAGTGTTTGTTGTCTTTTGATGTTGACTGTACCTAATATGCTAAAAATTACGATAAATAATTGAAGACAGAATAGTTTAAATCTCTCTTACAAACTTAATACAGTTTATAAAGTAAATGAAGTCTTAATAGCTTACTTTTATGTTTACATTTAACCGCATCAAAATATTAATATTCACAATTAACAATACATTAATTTCATATATTAAAAGAACTCTAATAAAAGATGGTAAACGATCTGATAATTGGGTGGTTAATCTGAACAAATTAATTGAATTAAAAATAACATACTTTTCTTTTCTACCCAAAGGTTGTCTGGAAGAGATAGCTTTAGCGATAAGACCGCCTTTTGTACTTCACAAGTACAACATACATATATCTTTGTATTACTCTTTAAGTGTCGCAATAAAGAGTAAATAAATAAATACTTTAGAAATATTTTAAACTTTTTAGTATATAATTTGTCTACTAGAAGTAAATACGAGTAGATAGTCAATTTTGTTTTGATTATAAAAAAATGTTATTTTAATAAATTTTATTTTTATTCTTAAATATAAAAAAAATGTGTTACATTCTATATCTTTATATGTGTCGTTGAATAAACATATTAATGAAAATAGTACACCTACGACCAACATCTCGGCCTACATGTAACGCTTCACCTACTAAACAGAAAATATTTATTGTATGTTGGGCCGTGAACTCATAAATCTTCCGGATTCTGTTATATCCATTGATATACAAAAAAAAAACAAGATGCACAATTAGAGATTAAAGGACAGCACCGAACTGAAAATAGAACGCATTCAACCAAATTGTGTACTCAAATCTAACTATCGAAAACAGTGTTTATGAATATAAACACTGTTTATGTATTGAAATATTCTCTCAAATTTTGTATAAATACTAGTAAGACGTCTAGATACAAAGTTTTAAATTTTTGCTAAATAATCAACTTCATACTTGTCGGCGCAATTACCTCTGGTGAAGTTGTAAAGGCAATCTGCGGGTAACAGCATTAGAGCAGTTCCATAAACAAATCGCCGGTGCCCGACTTCATAACCATGTTTACTATGACACGTGAATCACTGTTTTTTTTTTTAATGAATGATAATGGAATGATAACCCCGCCTGCGCTAGCGGTATACACTGGCGGGACACCAGTGACGGATGAAAGATGAGGATGAAAGCAGGTCAGTTAGCCCATCGTGAGAAATTCAGTGATAAATTAGCCACAATGGTTTCCAGAGGGAACCGCGTGGAGGTCGGACGGATTAGTAAGATTGCTAGTAATGGAGCTGTTAGACCCCATCGCTAACAATCCCAACAACAGATAAAATTAGGTTAATTGGCATATTATGACGAATTCTCATGAGAAATTATAGGTAAGAATGAATGCAAATCAATGACCTATTGCAACGAATTCGACAAGAATTCATCACAATAGTTTCCAAGGGGAACTGAGTGCCGAGTAAAGGTCAACCTGATAGTATTATATTACTAGGAATGGGGTTTTTATATCCTTTTACTAATAATCCCATACCCCTAAATTATATAGTACTGTATACTAATAATTATGGTTTTTCGTATTATGTTAACTAATTTTTTTTTATTTAATTCGGTAAATTTTGTTTGTATCTTATCATATGTGAATCTATGCTCTTTTCGTCTATGGTTACATCATTATTTTCGTCACTATAATGGGTGTAGCAGCGTGAATAGAATTGAACTTCCGCGTAGCAGAACCGGTATGTTCCATGCATACTAATTTGTTAGTGTGTTTGGTGAATAGACGGTGTTTACATTGTGGATATTGTCTATGCCAACTTTTGGCTATAGTACTCATACAGTTATGGGTAATAATGTAAACAAATGACACTGTATGTTATTATATTATTTAATTTAATGTAGTTATAGACATTAATTAGTAGTTTTAAGTAATTTAATATTTTAATAATAATTAAATTAGATGTTTACCTGTATTTTTATCAAAACTATTATAAATTGTATTATTTATAATTTGTAATAGCCAATTGGCAAATTATAATCTTTATTAACTAACTACTCCCATTGAGGGGGAAAGGGATTGTTGGTAATGGTTTTTTTTTATTGGTAGAAAATGGAAACCCCACCTGCGCTAATGGAATACGCTGGCGAGTCACCAGTGAAGGGTGATCGATGAGGATGAAAACAGGCCAGTTAGCCCATCATGATGAATTCATCAGGAATTAATCATGATAGTTTCCAGGGGGAACCGCGAGGAGGTCAACCTGGTTGGGTATATTGCTAGCAATGGTATTCTCAATCTCCATTACTAGCAATCATTTTCCCCCCGTTGGTAATGGGGTAAAATAGCCTCCTTAGGTCGATCTCGACGTGGTTCCCCCTGAAACCAACGTATTTAATTCTAGTTGAATTCGCCAGGATGGGCTAACTGATCTGCTTTCATCCTCGTCTGTCATTTTGCACTAGTACCCCGCCAGTGTATACCGATAGCGCAGGCGGGGTTATTATGCCATTTTCACCCATTAAAAAAACCCGCATCAGCTTCAAACGAGTTTCTACATTTCCGTACGATTTTTTATCCATTTTTCAATATGGTTATTCAGATTTTCATACAAACCTTGTTCTGTCAATTTACATACATGAAAAAAAATGTAGGTACTATATCGGATATGTTACTCTTATATTTTAATTTTATATTTAGTAACTTAGTAATATTGTATAACCTAATTAACTAAATCATTACACGTGCAGTGTCAAAATTACATAATTAAATTCTCTTTGTTTATTCTCAGTTGCTCTTGGCAGTGTGCCATGGTTTCTTTTACTTTTTTTTTATCTCACCATAGAGACAGAGGAATTGAAATTTGAAATACTTTTTTTTTTATTTATTTATTATTACAAAAATTCAAAATTACAGAAAACGTGTTTTGTAAGTATTTAGAAATCACGTATTAATGTTTATTTTAATGTGAAATACATTGAGTACTATTCAATTTATCTAACCTAGTTGTTTTCATGAATAAGTAAACTGTTACACTATTATTATTGACTACGTATTCGGCCCGGCTTCGCACGGGTTAATAGAATTTTCGGAAATAATATATAGCCTATATTCTCGATGATAATTTAGCTTTCCATAGATGAAAGATTTTTTAAAATCGGTTGAACATTTTTTTTTTATTTGTTTAGTAGTCGGTAAAAATACAAAAATAGACATTGATAATGTCAAATATTATTTACGAGTAAATAAAAATAAATTTAATTTCAGAAATTTTTGAGTTTAACTATTTCAAACAAAAAAAAAAAACTAACAATATTAAAACTTCAGTCACAAAGGTTGCACTGGAAAAGAATTGGAGTTCAAAATTGGATGTCTTGTGAAAAAAGAAAGTACAGTGTAAAGACTAAAGTTTTCCAAACAAAATGGCAGATCCTTTGATAGTTTCCAATCACGAGATGTATCTAGTGGATACCTACGCTGCGATTGGATTGCATAGCGCATGCACTCTCTGTGTACAGTACAGATGTACCGACGAAACTAGTTGCATGAAATATACGGGCGTACATAAAACGAAAAAACGACAGTTCGGCAGTTTTACACGAGTATATATAATAATGGAATGGCAACCCCAACACAGCAGGGAATCAGCACGATGGTTTCCAGAGGGGACCACATGGAGGTCGACCTAGCAGGGTATATTGCTAGCAATGGGATTGGTAGTCCGCATTACTAACAATCCCTTCCCCCTTATATATAAATAGATTTGTTATGTTCAAAATGAAGAAATCGGTTGTGAAGAGTATTTATTTATAGCCTGTTGTAGTTGACACCTAGGGTTTATAATTGGTAACAGAAAATTTGATAATTACTCGTAGTGTACGTACAAGTAACAAGTTTCGTACAAAAATTACTCCTTCCCTTATAAGTTTTTCCCAAAAAAGTTACCTTAAACCACAATTGATTATAATCGATTCAGCGGTTTAGGCATGAAAACAAAACTAACTTTCGCATTTATAATATTAGTTAGCATGTACAGCTTAGTTTAACACCAGATGGCGCTGTGTAATCGTTCAGTTGTATTATCACGATGATGGAAACCGCATAAACGTACTGTCCGGTCTGTTTTAAGTGTCCGTATTTTTTCACGGTTGCCTTTTGCCAACCGTTCCACTGCCGGGTAAATACAGCGGGGTGCGTCGGAAACTTGATTTGGGAAGTTGATGCATACAGACGGGGGGTTAATGTGCGCCCGCTATCTTGGCACTTCCATCAGTGAGAGTGTTAACTTCGTTATGCCGCTACATAACGCATACCTATCGGAAATATAATTATTAATCGAATAAATTTAGGTTAAGTTATTCAAGT